TGGTCATGATATCGGTTTGGTTATCTGGTGAGAGGGAAACATGAAGATGAAACCAGGAGATGTCCTTACTGGATCATCAGAGCTGAACAGGTGATGGAGAAACAGGTTTACCTTTTAGGTCACATGAATGAGTTGAAGGGAAGTTATGAACTGTTTCTGAGAGACAAATAACCCCAGGATCCTTTTTTAGGTAGCTGACAGCTGGTAACTGTCCAGGGGCGGATCTAGCAAAGTTTTGCCAGGGGTTTTCGTGTTGGATGTAAAAAGCGCACATGACGCTGTGACGTAGGCTAGAATCATGGTGGTGGTCAGTGATGGTCCAGGCGTGGGATTTCTCTCGTGGAAATATGCACATTATCTTTTCCTTTCTATTGGTAGGTGGCACAGTGCACTTGTGGCCAGTAAGCAAGCTAGAAGACTGGTAATCTCGCGGGGTATCCAGTTATGGAAGCGGCGCATTAACAAGAGAATTCTGAGTAAAGCCAAAGTTACTTTCCCTAGTAACTAGTTACTTTGAAAGTAACGAGTAACTTGAAGTAACTGAGTTACTTTTGATAGAAGTAACTAGTAATGTAACTAAGTTACTAATTTAAAGTAACTTACCCAACACTGACAATAGGTCACAGTTTCCTGCTGTCTCCTTATTTATGCAAAGCTCTGCTGACTCACCCTGATAGTCGGGGATGTTTTGTATAGATTAAAGTATTGAGTTTACAGCATTATAATATATTAACATATTATTTTATTCACATATTGTTAAAAGTTGCTTTCAGGCTGAAATATAAACATTTCCACCTGATGTACCTGTATTTGTTGTAGCAACATTAACATTGCAGGTCCTTTGATTTGAACCTGCACATAAGAAGAAAAAGTAAAAATGCAGGCTTTAAAAACATATTTCAGTTTTACATAAGAAAAAAAGTCTTGTTGTAACTATACAGTGTGTAAATATACATGTATGTATAAATTTTTTACAAATTCATCTTATGTTGTATTTGTTTTCTTGTTTGTGGAAAAAACGCATCAGTTTATTGTTTTGCACATCAACAATTTACTTTTGTTGTTTGAGAAAGAAAAACTATGTAGCAAATTAAATTCTTAAAGCTGCTCTTTGGAGGAAAGGCTGATTGTGCTGATGAAAGTACTCACCTGTGTGAGCCTCTATACAGTCGCTAACATGGTGTTGTTGATGAAACCTCTGAAATTTGAGCTTTACTCTGTTTTGGTTTTTTGCTTAGGAACCGAGATATGTATCTTTTGTCTGTTGAAGAAAACAGAAAGCTGTTTTAAAAGTATGTGACAAACATGATTTTGCCTATGAGGTACCAATCTGCATCTTCTTCATCATCATATTTAAAAACAGATATAAATATATTTACTTTTTTTTTTTAAAGCTGTTACATTTTGTGCCGGCAGTAGTTGAAGTTCCAGAGCAAGATTCACAAATGATCTTATTGTCACTCGTATGATTTAAATACCCTGGTACATGGAAACAAAACACATGAATGCTCATCTATAAACAATATAATATGCATCAGGTTTTAAAGTTCTTAGATTTCATTTTAAAGTCAGTCAGCCGACTTTAAACCAGCGATAAAATCATTTTTAATGTGTTGTGAATTTTAGATTTCTTACCATTTTCTACCTCCACAGACAAAACAAACATTTTTGTTTTGTATGTGATTTTACGGCATTTATTAGTACAGTCCTCTGTCTCAGTGTAATTGGCTGTGGCAGTTGCTTCCAGTGTGACTTGGTTAGCAGTGGGCCCACAACATTTAAATTTCCATATCCACTTTCCAGCTGTGCAATTGCAATCATGTGTAATATTCCCTCCAACAGGGCACAGATGATAGGGAGTAAATTTGATTCCTCCATCTGGAAAGTCTCGTATGGCTGAAACACAGGGCAGCAGGCTCACTGCTGTAACACAGGAAGATCACATCAGGCCTGAGTACAGTTTGCATTTAGGTGTTGACCTGTACGTTGGAAACATACCTAGTAGTAATGATAGATGAATCAGACGTGCCATGGTCTGTAACATGCAAAAGAAAAAAAAAAGATAGAAAATTGAGAAGGAATTGATCTTTCACATTAAGAGTTTATAAATAAAACGTTCACCTTCAGTGCTTCCAGTCTTTGCAGAGATGACTGTTAAATATCCAAAGTGTTTGAATAAACCTCCCCACTGTCCTCTGGCTTGCTGTCTTTCTCCAGAATGATAACTCAGAGAAATGTCGGCAGGAGTGACTTTTTATATTGCTCTTTATATTATCATATTTTTGATTAAATAAACACAAATGTGTTCTCAGCTTCCTCAATTGGAATAATGTTGCTTTCCCCCCCTCTAAGGTACTGTGGATGTGCAGCATTACAAACTTAATAAGGTGAATCAACTTGACTGATATAGAAAACATTTGGATTTTAAATGTTGTTTAAATGTTGTTAAAGCAAAAAATCCACAAAAAAAATATTTTTTTGTTACACATTATTATTATATTTGTTTAAATGGAGGTTTTCCTGTGATCAGTAATCGCCTCCAACCTGTTTCATGAATGCACAGCACATTAACTCAGCGTTTGCTCTTAAACTGTAGTTGTTAAAATCTGAAGGCTTGCCTAGTCAAACAGGAAGCAAATATATCCTGATCAGTTTTTATTTTGATCTTATAAACAAATTGGGTATGTAACCAAGGTTTACTGACAAAAGTCTCCTTTATGTCATCAGGTACAGAAACTGGTAATAAATAACCAGTTCATTCACCACCACACGATTTCTGCTGCTGCATTAACCCTCAACTTAATACTTTCAATAACTGACACTGACTTTTCACCTTAAGGAAATCGATATAGTCCCCATTCTATACAGCGATCGAAACAGATCCATAAAACAAACAATTTCAAATATAGTATTGTTTTTCCTCTTGCATGATTTTGACCTGTGCCTACACTGTTGTAAAGTTTTAAGTACACTCAGTACAACAACCCGGATGGTAATTGGACATGTGTAATGACAATACAGTTGAATCCTAATCCTTTATTATGTCGGCCCATTCTTTGTAGCTATAACATCTTCAACTCTTCTGGGCAGGATTTCTGAAGGGTTTAAGAGTGTTCATGTTCATTTCTGATCATGCAAGCAATTGTGAGGTCAGACACTGATAATGGACAAGAAGGCAATCCACCCCAAAGGTGTTCAGGTCGAGGGTCAGGACTCTGTGTAGACCAGTCAAGTTTGTGCACTAGTGTGCAGTCATGTTGGAACAGGAAGGAGCCATCCCCACGCTGTTTCCACAAAGTTGGCAGCATGAAATTGTCCAAAACGTTTTGGTATGCTGAAACATTAATTCTTTCTTACCCACGATACAGTCAGAACAAAACCCAGACTCATTGATCAGATTGCCAGTTGGAGAAACATGATTCATCACTCCAGAGAACACATTTCCACTGCTCTAGAGTCCATTGGCAGTGTGCTTTACACCACTTTATCTGACATTTTGCATTGCACTTGGTGACATAAGGCTTGGATGCAGCTGCTTGGCCATGGAAACCCATTCCATGATGCTCTCTATGCGCTAATCGGAAGGTCGGGTAAATACTTTGAAGTTTGGTAAAAGTTTGTGATGGTGAGTTTGAAGTGTTACTAAAAACAAACAGCTGGACGAATAGTTTGCAACACATTAGTTTAACTGACAGCAACATGGTAACATTCTTGGGCATAAAAAGGACAGGTGGACAGATTTCACCCTAGGTGTGTGAATGGCGTCTGTGACAGATTGGTATACCCCACTATCTCTTGAATCAAGATATCGCTGAAATAAACACAGTTTGCATTTTGTTAACTTTACATTTTATTATTAGCACAGAATTAATATTCTTTAGTTTTTTGTTTGAGAGAAAAATAAAATGTTATTTCTTATAACCGCTCAGTTAAATTAGCCAGATATTTAGGTTTTTAATGACAAAAATAATACATCGACTCTTTACATAGAAGCATCTTTGACAAACACAGGTACTTCTGAGAAGTGGTGGGTAAATGGTTAATTTAACAAGGCTTGCAAATGATAGTAACCAAAGTAGTTTTCCTGTGAAACACAACACTACAGCTACAGCATACAAACATACAAACAGCATATATACTGTTATGAGTTCAAATATTGGGGATGGAGACAAGAGAAAAAACCACAATAACAACACTGGTCCGGCCGGGTTGAGTCAAACGATGATTTTAATAGTCACACGCGTGGGAGATGGACACTGTATGCAGACAGCCTCAGATCTCAAAATGGTGGAGCATTAATCAAACTCTTATAGCCTCTGGTGCCCCCACCTTATCATAAAAGCCTAAACATTCACATGCTTTTCTCTCACACGGCGCCTAAGCTACGACCTTGGCTCCCCGTTTTATCTGCTCCTGCTGAGATGGGGCAGAAAACTCCAGCATGCTCTGTTCTCTTCTAATCAGACAAATAAGGCGATGACTCTCTGCAAACAGTATTTCTTATAACATCATAAAACAATATCATTCATCCACAATAAATCAGCAGTCTAATGTAATGCAAATCAGTTTAACTAATGCAATAGTTATCAGCTTCTTCTAATTCAGGAGAATAATGCAAACTAAAACTACATAATAATTCACAATCTTTAATTAGGGGTATAACATGGCATAAAATAATATTATAATCTAACAATACACATTGGGTTTGCTGGGTCATCCATCTGCTTCTCCAGGAATCTCACCTTGATGTGATGACGATTGAGACGCTGCGAATCGTTTTCTTTGGTGCTATCAGTTCAGTCAATGTCAATGAAAAGCTCTGTGGCCCAAAACACAAATATTAATTCAAAAATATATAAAAAGCAGAGTGGAATGGCTTCATTTTAAACTTCCCATTGACCTTTATACATCTACTTATATGTAAATATTGCAGCTTACAGTGACATGTGTCACACAGATAAAAAAAGATGCAGAATATAAAGTAAAACGTCAATTTATGCCTACGGGCTAGAAAACATTTTGGTAGATATACCTGACTTCTCTGTATATTCATCAGTACAGGGCTTTTCATTCATTCCTGGAGAAAAAGAAAAAAGAAAAACAATAAGATTTAATAAAAACCAGGTGAAGAAGTCTGACTGGACAACAAAACAGCAACTTACTTTGACAAATGTATGGTAATTTTTCATGGCAGTCGGCGTTGGACCACTTGATTTCTTCTGTCTTATTATCAAAGATGACTTTTCCACAGTGGTTGTCAAAGTCAGAGTTGGTGGACGAAGTTCTATTCAACTGTGATTTTACAACATTATACCCTGAAATCCACTTCCACTCAGGTCTGTAGCCAAAAATGGACCTTTGCAGTCCAATCCACACCCCCGTCTTTGAGTCTGTTTTATTTTGCAGTCTTTTCACATCATCCCTTACTTTCTTTTCGCAGATCTCAACCAGGGAGAAATGATCCCTCTGGCAGTCCTCCAAGGCATCAATCCAACTTTTACTTTTGTTGTGTAGACTGACTGGACACAAAAATCGAGAGTAGGTTTTAAAAATGTAATGCACACATATTGTACATAAACTCCATGTCATTATGTTAAATTAAATGCAGTCTTTAAGCAATTTTACTGTGTTGGGTAGAGCTTACTGTTAGCAGCAGGGTACTCAGCACATTGAAATTTAATCTTTACTTTCATGCCATTCTTTGATGTCATGTTAAAGCAGATATTTCCATTCCTTTTGTGGAGGAAAATATACAGGTGATTTATTGAAAGCATGTGTGGCACCAAATATACTGAATCTTTGTATTCAGTAATTGAGTACACATGAAACATACTGTTGTGTAAGATTAACAGCTGTTTTGTTGAAAGTGACATTTGGGTGGCATTCAGGCTAAGTGTAGTTTTCCTTACAAACTGTATCGTTTACAGAGACCTTTATAATTCCTGATACACAAAACCAACATATAAAGATTCATCAGAGAAAATAACACTGCATGTGTGCTTAAAGTATTTCTTAAAGAATGTACTGGTTTGCAGTGCTTACCATTTTCTACCGCTAGAGAGGAATTCAAACACTTTCGCTCTCTGTAATTGGTGCCAGGACATGTTCCTGAGCTGTACATCGAGTACATCGAGTCCAACGAGTCCAATTTTTGAGCCACAATTTTCAGTGTGAATTGGTTTCTGTTGCTCATACAACATTCAAGTTTCCAAGTTAAATTGCCAATTTCTAAATCTCCTGCATTTGGGCACACATAGGAAGAGAAAACAAAGTGCAGCTGGACTGTTGCTGTAACAGAATAAGACCAGATCAACAGTTTAAGTATCATTTAGTCATTTGTTTTTTTTGCATTACTGTTATCTAAAGAAATTTAGAATTTAAAGAAAGGTGACTGGACTTCTTAAAGATGTTTCAGCTGAAGAACTTCTCAGGTAAGAGGTGAAAGTCTACAAGAAACTTTAAAAAGTCCAGTTGCTTTTCTTTCCAAACTCCTTAGACCTGAGAACCTGCACAGACACATTACTGTTATAGTTCATCTTTAAAAAACGTACTGATATATATGTAGTATATTTATGTATATGCAAAAATGTAAATACAAAAAAAGTGCATTATTTTTACATTTCTAATTATTTAAATTTTAAAGGCAAATATGTTTTTGTGTTATTTTCTTCAAGACCATGCAAAAAATTTGAATTTCTTTACTCTTTTTGAATATAGACTGTAATGTTCAGTTCACGTTACTCTTCATGCTTTTTAAATGTTTGCACCACTTTAACTAAATGCTGTAAGCTCCATAACAACAGGAAATATTTGTTTATTTATTAATTTTAGAATCTAGGTACATCATATTCAGTGATGGGAATAACAGCGTTACAAGTAACGGCGTTACTAACGGCGTTACTTTTTTCAGTAACGAGTAATCTAACTAATTACTATTCCTATCGTTACAACGCCGTTACAGTTACTAACAAGAACATGCGGTCCGTTACTATTTTTCAACAAACAGACTGTTGAAGCTGTGTTCATCTTACCACATCTTATATCAGTTGCACGGAAGTAGCTGACTACATAAGTAATCTGGACGCTACAGCTTTAAGCAGCTGTGCGCGCTACCGCGGACGGTAATCACGATCACTTTCTAGCACAACACCTGGAGCTAAGGAGGCAAAACAATCGCATGGGTGCTGCTGTTTGACTGAGGAAGAATAAAGTAGTCGTGGCAAGCCAATCACATGACCACTTCAAGACAAAGCAACAAGGTGATATATACCAGTTTTTAAATTGTGTCGAGTAAAACCAGAGTCACGATAAACAATATATACGTTTTTTCCTCAATAGTTTCGTCATGTTTACTGTCAGAACAATGAGGCGACTGCTGTCTCCGGGTAGAAACATGAGTGATACACCTGCTGCTGTCAGACCTGCAGGTATCAGGCTGTGATGTTCTCTTTTATAGTGGACAGAAATTATTTTTTTGGAGTGGCACAAATAATTTGTGTGGCATCTTATTTAATGCAGAACAGCTGATTGTTATATAGATAGTTTGAAATGGTTATTTTTAAAAAAAAGGTAAAAGATAAATGGCTGCAAATAACTTTGTTTGCAAAACTTGTGCATAGTATTTTAAAATTGACAATTTATATTTGCATTTAAAGTTATGGAATATGATTCATTAAACATGTTTGTGGTTATTACAGTAAAAAATATAACTTTTTCTACTCTGGTTTTATGTTTTTTGTCTGATTTTAGATCAATTGTGTTAATACGGTGTGTCAAAAATGAAAACATAACTGTAAATTCAGACACGTGAGGTTGTGCTGAAAAGAATGATACCAAACAAGGCAAATAAACTGTTTTTAAAGGTGAAATGTGGAGGGAAAATCAAAAGTAGTTAAAAATGGCCAATTATACCCTGGACCCCAGAGGGTTAAACTTTTTTTTTTTAAAGTAACGCAATAGTTACTTTTCCAGTAATTAATTACTTTTAGAATATTGTAACTCAGTTACTAACTCAGTTACTTTTTTGAAGCCGTAACTAGTAACTATAATTAATTACTTTTTCAAAGTAACTTGCCCAACACTGATCATATTTAACATTTATAACAATGATCATTCACCAAAAAACATACCTAAAAGTAGTGAAAGAGGGCTCAGCAAGTCCATGGCCTGTAAATACAAAAATAAAAATCAAAACCCAACAACAACAAAAAAAACAGAAAAAGTTGAACACATGGGATTTTATGCAAAATAATATACCATTAATATTGGTACATCAAAATCCAACATGACAATATGCACTTTGAATAGGGCAGTATAGTACTTTGGTAGTCAAATCGTGACAGATACCACTGACAAACAAAGGCTTGTCTGTGCAGTTCTCTTCTGATGAAATACACAAACTTCTGCCAATGAACTCACATGAACTTGACCTTTAACTCGAGACTATCAGAGAAGTTATTCTTACTAAAAAAAGGCTCATGAAGGCTATCCCTGTGGACCTTTTGCCAGTTTATATAATGTTTACACAGAAATATTAAAGTGTTTAATAATTAATAATAATAAACATTTAATCATTCTACGAGTTCTTTTTGTGTTAATTTTAGAAGGAAGTTCTTAGGATTTACACAATCTGATAATTAGTAATCTAATTTCAACTTACCTTCTCAGTGAAAACTTGCTGTTGGTCTCTGAAATATAACAGAGCTTTAGACTGGGAAATGTAAACTTGTGTCTCTGTATGGAGATACTAAACTCATCCCTGTTTTGACTATACAAACACGCCCACCAACACACCATACAGGGCTAGGATCTTATTACAGTTTTTGCCCGTTGCCTGAACACATTTTGCAAAACTTTGCTCATTGTGCCAAAACCCTAAACACAAGTAAACATGACACAGCACTGGGAAATATACCATTCACATCTGCACCAAATTGAAACTCTACTCTCAAAACCTAAACTCTGCTATCAAAACCTAACATTCCTTTGTCAAAATGTAACTCTGTTGACAAAATGACACATACTTGCATCATATGCAAACACTTACAGAGCAGGAGGAACACACTAGTCTACTTTATATAAAGCACTGCAGTCTTTGATTTCCATTGTTCATTCAGAAGGCATATTTTCAGGAGACACATTTGCAAACAACCAAAAAAGCAAATAGACCTACTCAATATTGTACATTGCAGTACCATGAATTCAGATAAAGCAAAAAAAACCAAAACAAAAAAAACCCCATAATACAGTAATAGAAAAAACACTATACTGTAAACAAAAAATCATGACAATTGTGCATACGTGGGCTCATGGATCCCGCCGTCTGTTGGGGTCTGGCCACAGGACCTCATCAACATCGCAAGCAATGTCTTCTCCCGCTGGGCACCGGGGAAAATATCCTCTTCCATGTCAAAACCATCCATGGATTGCTGTCACCTGAATGTCGCCGCAGGCCTGTTCCATTGCCTGCAGAAGAGGCATGCAGGCATGTAGTTGGCGGTCATATACACGCCATCTCCAAGCCGAAAAAAATTCCTCTATAGGGTTTAAAAATGGTGAGTAAGGGGGCAAGTATACCACTTCAAATTGACTTTGGTTGGAGAACCAGGCCTGGACCAGAGCAGCCCGATGGAAACTGACATTATCCCATATCACCACAAACCTGGGCTGATCTGGTCTGTTCTGTACAACTATATCATGGAGAGCATCTAGAAATGTGAGTATGTGTTGGCTATTGTATGGACCTAGTATTGCATGATGGTGCAGAAGCCCTCGAAGGCATATGGCGGCACATAATGTGATGTTTCCCCCGCGCTGCCCTGGGACGTGCACAATTGCCCTTTGGCCAATTACATTACGACCCCGTCGTCTTGTTTTGCTCAGGTCGAATCCAGCTTCATCAATGAAAATGTATTCATGAGGCTGTGCAGCTCCATCCATGGCCAAGATTCTCTGAAAAAAAGGGGAACATATCACTGTACTACAGTGCTACACATACAGCACCCTCACCCCATCACACAGGTACCTGTGTAGCTCTCAGAATGGATCCATGTGGTACTGATATGGTACATATTCAGCTGCTACTGGACTTCACCAATACTCTATTGTAAATGTAAGGGACAGTTACACGTACCCGTACATATTCAGCTCGAAGTCCTTTGACCCTGTCACTGTTCCTCTCGAATGGGACTCTGTAGAGCTGCTTCATGGTGATGCTGTGTTTACCCAAGATGCGTCTGATGGTGGTGATGCTCACATGGTCTATGTTGCTGAACACTCGCCTGTCTGCAAGTATTTTCTGTCGTAGCTGGTGGAGACAGATGGCATTGTCTGCCCTCACTAGGTCCACAACAGGAAGTTCCTGCCGTTGTGTGAACAGGCGTTGGCGTCCTCCCCAGGTCTTCGAGTCATTCTGGAGAAATACAACCACATATTGTCATCGGTTTGCTTATTTTTCATACAGTACTTTACTGTATATACTGTATCATCCACTGTACAACACTGTACTTCAATATAAGGAATCATGGTATGTTTCACAGAAACTACCACTTTGGCTGCAAAAGGAGCATTAGCACCCTGCAATACCCTGTACACTTGATATGGTAACTGTAGAACAGTACTATGAAAACCATCTGAGTAGAGTAGAAGGCAGTGAGATGAAGACAGACCTGTTTTCTAGTCGGAATTTTCTTATTACAGATGCCACTGTGAAGCGGCTTAGATGTGGGTGGACTCTCTGCCCAGCTTCCCTCATAGTCAGGCCGTGGTTGATGACATGGTCCACCAAAGTTGCTCTTATATCATCAGAAATATGGGTCCGTGCATGGCCTCTTTGACCTCCTCCTCCTCTTCCTCTTGCTCTCCCTCCATCCATGCTTGCAAAGTTCTTGAATTGGCTAAACTGAGGGCTTTTTGTGGCTGGCTAATTGGTGTTCAGTTTTGCAAGTAAGTGCCTTCAGGTGTATATTTGAGTGGTTGCAATTACCCGATGTGTTTTGTATTTTGGATACATGTGTTTTCCAAATGGCACCCTGAAATTTCATTTTTGAACGAAGTGTCTTATGTATGAAATAGAGTGTAGTATGCAGGACCATGTGTGTTGCATAAAGGAGTAAGTGTGTTGCATAATTGCAACCAGAGTGCAAAGCAGCACTTTTGTTTAAGGTATGGGTACATGTGTTTGGGGTATGGTAACAAAAGCTTCAAGTTGTGTTACTTTAGTCTAAGCATGGGTTTATAGTGTTCAAGCAACGAGCAAAAACTGTAACACTGGGGGCCTCGCCCAGCCTTTTTTTTTTTTCTAATTTGTCCAGCTCTGGTCTCATAGCTTCTGCCTCTGTTGCACCTTCTAAATTGATAATCTGTCTTCTTCTTCTTCTTCAACTTCCCTGCTGTTATTTTTATTCTGAAATCTTAAGCTTGATTTACTTTGTAAGGACATAGTAACCCAAGATTCTTTATTAGAAGTCCTGAGAGTTTCAGAGTAACAGACAATTGGCGTCACACAGTAACCATGGTTACGCACTGTCACGCGCACCTGTGCAAACAGTCTGAGAGAGACTGTGCTGTTGTTTAATAACAGACATCACTCTGAGCATTATGCATGATTTCATCTTTACATGTTGAACTTGTTGGCATTTTTCACTACCCACCAGCGTAAACTAAGAATACAAATATTTACAGTGGTTTGTGTGTAACCTTTGAGGACTCACAGTGTGTCGACTGAAGAAGGCATTCTGTCCACGCACAGACACAAAGCAATTTGAGCACACACTTAAAACTATTTTACAAATGCATACATCCAAACCTGAGCACACACTGTGCACACAAATGTCTAAAAGTACACGCACCTGCCTTCTCGCTCCCATACAAAACCTTAAATGTGTGGACAAATCGTCTGATACGCACCGATCATGTTGCATGCCCACGTGGGGTTTTGAGGCAAATTTAACGCTGTCACTCAGGGGTGGGCAACTCCAGGGCTTGAGGGCCAGTGTCCTGCAGGTTTTAGATATCACCCTGGGTCAACACACCTGAATCAAACGATTAGTTCATCACCAGGCCTCTCGAGAATTTCAGGACATGTTGAGGAGGTAATTTAGCCATTTGAATCTGTTGTGTTGGATCAAGGACACATCTAAAATCTGCAGGACACCGGCCCTCGAGGCCTAGAGTTGCCCACCCTGGCACATATCATCTGCAAATGTAAGCTGCGATCATGTCACAGTGTAAAACTGGGACATCTGGGCCTCCAATGCCTAACTATTAGTTAGCTTATACTCACTCCAGAGTCTGATTCACAGCCACGCTGAGCACTGGCTGACTTTTCCTAGCATCTAGCAGCAGATTATTTAAACTGTATACTAACGTTTATAGGCTACTGTATAGTTTCTCTAATTGGTAAATCACATTTTCTAGTTGATTTAGAAAAAGACACGTCCACGTCCCCAAAACAAGACAAAACATTTGTGTGCACAGAAAGGTTTTTCAAAGAAAAAGAATATCTGATTCGTAAAACTAAACAAATTGCCTTGTATTTGTGTGTGGATTGAGGCACGCACTTGTGAGCCCTCAAAGGTTACACACAAATGATTGTACATATTTGTAAATCTTAGTTTATGCTTGTGGATCATATCGTAGGTTTTGCAACCCTTTTGAGGCAACTTTCCCTTCATAAGTCTATGCTGCAACAGTAACAGGAGACGGCTCCTCTGTTGAAGTGCTTTAGTTATAATAAGAGGCATTCAAACAAGTAGACATCTTAAATGTTTTTGTACATTCAAAGAGTAAGTAGAGTAATGTTTATTTATATACCACTTTAAGATACGAACGAGTCACAAATTGCTTTACAGAGGTAATAAAAATGTGGTCAAAATGGACACACCCGAATTACGTAAAGCAACACAAATCACAAAAAATTACTCAAATGCCTTTCTAAATACATTAATTCACAGCGATTTTTTAAAGGATGCCACAGTGTTGATGGGCCAAAGACAGAGGGGTAAGTTGTTCTGCAGTTTTAAAGGTTTCGATCTCTGGACCTCAGGATTTGGTTTGAAGAATAGGTGTCGAGTAGACCGGAGACATATAAGTGGCATCCTCTCCTCCGAAGGCCATAAAAGAAAGAATGAAGATTTTGAACTGATATGTAAATCTAACAGTAAAGCCAGTGCAGACACTTTAATAATGGAGTGATATGAGAGAATTTATGAGTGGGATAAAAGCCTTACAGCAGCATTTTTGGCAGATTGGAGATGATTAATAGATGATTTAGACAGACAATACCATAGAGCACTGTAGTAATCTAAGTGGGAGGAGATGAAAGGATGAACAAGCATCACCATTTTTGAAAAAAGTAAAATAAAAATACACATGGCAAAAATAAACCGTACAATAACATTAGGGTGTTAGACTGACCATCTCACAGACATTCTGAGTTAATGTGTAAATTCACATTGTTGCACTTTAAAGTCTCTTAACTATTAATCCACTACATCAACTGCTTTGCAGCACAGCTGCTGAAGTCACATGTTACAGGCCTGAATGCATTTTCCTTTTAACGAATCCTTCTTTTATGAGGTTTGACCCTATTCAAACAACATCTGGGACTCGAGAGCAAAAGATTGAAAATACTCTGAATATATATCATCAGTGGTAACTGAAACCACTGATGAAGCATGTTTTTTTCATGATGACATATTATATTTGTTTCACAGGATCCAAAGACTCGAACCTATTTTTCATCTATTTATAACTAATGTGTTTCCAGTCATTGTTCTATACTTAGTCTTTATTTCCAGGAAAGCTTTCATTACAATTACTTGACATGTTTTTTTGTTTTTCGCAAAGAAAAGGAAACACATCTGCTTCCACCTCATGCAAATCTAAACCCGGAAAATAATCGCGCGCATGCGCACACGCACACGCACGCACTAACACATTCTCCAACCACACACACCCATCTTTTGCTCCATTGCGGTTTATTTCACACCTCAAACATTTAGTAAACAATTAAGCAAATACAAGTAATCTGCAATAAATTACATTTAGTAAGAAAATAAACTACTAAACTACTTTTACGCTACGTCCACACCTACACGGGTATTTCTGAAAACGCAGCTGTTTCGTCCACATGTAAACGGCGTTTCAAATCACCGAAAACTGAGATTTTTTAAAACTCCGGTTTTGCGTTTATGTGTGGACGAGGAATACAGAGTTCGTCACGCAACGTCAAAGGTATGTGTCTTTTTTCACGTCACGCTGTGCGCCACGTTATTGTTTACATGAGATGAATTGCAGAATAGCAGGTAGAGACAAAATACTGTTAATCTGACAATCTGCAGGTTTTACACGCTTACATACACACATGCAGCTACTGTTCCTTTATTTACAAAGGCAGAGGCGTCACGGTGTGATTACTTTACATGTAGTTGTTTTTTTCCGGTGTAATAATATTCAACATTGCTGTCAATACATTTTTCAATCCCTCTGCAAAATAGGTTTAAAAACATAAACAACTGTGGGATGCTGTTTGTCCGTGATTTGAACCGGGGGAACAAATTGTGGCCTGATGTTATTTGTATCCCGCTGTATCTTTACTGTATAAAGAGCTAAAATCTCCAAAATGTCAGGAGTAGTTAGTAATTACAACAAGTGTTTGTGAACTAAAAATCAAGAATGCGGGATACTGTTTGTCCGTGATTTGGAGAGCCCAGCGCTGCTCCCGACGAAGGGAAAACCAATTCTGCAGGGGAGACCTACCTCGGCACTTGTGCAGGTGAAGCCAAAGGGAAGATTTGCTTCATCATATTTTCTAGTCTTTGGCTTAGAATGAAGTTGGTTTGGAAACATATTCAGCGATGCTTCATCTCCTGATTTGCGTTTGTGGAGGCGCCCCATGCTAGCAGTGTCCAAGCATTGTTTTGTTTTTTGTTTTGTTTTTTCCTTTTCATACTGCGCCTCCCTTGCAATGGCTCTGTGCCCTCCTTAGGGGGCGGGCCCCACACTTTGGGAAGGTCTGGTGTAGAGTATGGTGAGGAGGCTCTGAAGAAAGTTGAGCAAATGGAGGCTGATCTTGGAGGAACAGAGATCCTGGAGCCCCTCAAACATATTTACAGCCAACCCTGCATTACACACACACACACACACACACACACACACACACACACACACACACACACACACTTTAATGATGTCATTCTTTAGTCCTTCCTTTTTTTCTCATTCATTACTCCAACTTGTAAGTTGACCATGAATCAAGCCCTGTATCAGTCTCATATAATCTGCTAATTATACATGAGTTGATCTGTTGAGTGGCTCCTACTGTTCCTCTCACTCTTGCTTTTTTTAACTTGTTAAAACACTTTACTGACAGCATACATACATGAAAAAGTGTGTGTAAACTCTCCTCTCCAGCTGTTTGTCTTTACTGATGCAGAGGTGGGGAACACCAAAGAAGTGATCGATCTGGTGAAGAAGAACTCATGTCCTCTGTGTACTCAGCAAAAGCTGTTGTATTGCAGGTGTTTCTCTTTTGGGATTGGGGAAGGGGCCAGCTCTGCTCTCATCAATGGGATGGCCAAGGAAGGAGGTCATGCTCAGTTCATCACAGGGACTGACAGGATGCAACCAAAAGTAAGACATAAACACAATTACAGGTCAAGTTAAACATTACAGCAGCAGCAGATACATATTTGAGATCAGACCTGCAGTGAGTAAAATGTCTGTTCCAGCTGTTTGTGTATATTTGGAGAGTTTTTCATTATTTTTCAGGTGATGCAGTCGCTGCGGTTTGCTCTGCAGCCAGCTGTGGTCGACATCTCAGTCACATGGGATTTACCAAAGGAAGTGTCTGTCACTGTCCTCTCTCCACCAATCACAACACTTTTCCAGGGTCAGAGGTCACTGATTTATGCCCAGCTCACTGGACAGGTAGGAGCAGCAGCCTCTCATGTTGTTGTTTAGGTATTTGATGACAGTGATTAACGTGACTTCTAACACTGTAATTCTGTGTCAGAGCTCAGAGGCAGCAGAGGGCTGTGTGACGCTGACGTACAGCCTGGCAGGTCATCCCTCTGAGAACCAGCTGCACTTCAGTCTCAGCCCTGCAGAGGACACTGGGTAAAACAGTTTAACACAAACGGCACACTTCTGTTTTGAAATGCGAGTGTTGAATTTAAAACAATATTTTCAGAAACATAACTCTACTTACTAGAAAACAGTTAATAATACACAGACCTAATGGTGTTTGTCTAGTTTTAAACATGTTTCACTTTTTCTAATCTTATTTTCTTGGATTAGGGGTATCATAATATCTAATAGTATATGATTACTGATCACAAACATATTAGACATGACAGAGTAATCTCAGTCTGCAGTTTGTTTGAATTCAAGTCCAAACACTATTGTGCAATAATCTGACACTTTTACTCTAAAATACACTAAGAACAGACAGATTGACACACACAGGAACATCACCAACAACAACTAATTTGTGTTCTCAGAGCCTGCTTTTGTAAAGAATGACAGACTTGTCTGTACATTGCACACTGTCATAGTGTTTGTTTAGAGAAGAAAACATAGTCTGTCTGACCTTTAGAGGCAAATCCATCAGCAGCAGAAAGAAATCGAGATCCTGTCAGGACTCCTTTAGCCTGATAACTGGGGTTAAGTAGAGAAAGACGCAGCACATCTGTCTGGACTATTGGTCACCATCCTCTGTCAGTATGTGCGATAGAAACAAAGTATAGCACGATAAATCTTGAAAATATAGTCACTGGCAATACTGCATAATTTTATTTTTTTAAAAAAAGCATTTTTAGAGTTTAGTAGGAAGAAACACAGAGGTTTTACAGTGAGTTAAATGCACTGTTGTCTATGTTTACCAGATTCTCGTTAAAAATCTTTAGATTTCTATTTGGTTTCTTAACAATGTCTCCATGAAGCCTTGTAACACAAATCAATTAGTTAAAGTACAGTCATGTCTTAAAGACATCAAGGCCTGGATGACCTCGAATTTCCTGCTTCTAATTTCAGGCGAAAGCGAGTTTTTGTGCTCGACCCTAAAAATGTTAGAAACACAGAGTCCAGATACTTGACTCCCTCTGCATCCTTGTCTTTCCCCTCACCCCCAACCAGCAGATAGTTGCCCTCCCTGAACCTGGTTCTGCTGGAGGTTTCTTCTCTTTTAAACAGAGTCGTTCCCTCCCAATGTTGCCAAGTGCGTGCTCATAGGGAACATCTGGTTGTTGTGTTTTTCTTCTCTAATATTATAGGGTCTTTAGCTTAATATGCAAAGTGACTTAAAGCAACTACAGTTGTGAAGTAGTGGAATATAAATAAAATTCAAATTGGCTAATTGCAAATGATAAATGATCATTTATACAGTCTATCAAAGTGATTATGGGGGATTTCTGCTAAGCTGCAGCCTCTCTTCACTATAACTCCTGTTAAAACTATTTTAGGATCATGTTCTTTTACCAAAACAAATACCACAACATTGAAGTCTAGGGAGCCAGCTTCAGTGTTAACTTAAGCACAGCTCAGTAATTTCTTAAGCTGATGGGTAGTTTTTGTTTTTACTACCCAAGTTACTAGCTGCTTGTTAAACAGTAACTTCAAACTGTCAGTAAAACCAAGTCCAGCTTAGTTAACTCATGGATCATTCCATTTGTAATCAACACGGGTTTTCTGCTCAACCATCCATCATTTTCATAAAAAATGTTAAGATACAAAGTGTGGGCACATATGATGAGTGCTGTGAAATTTTAGGTTCAAATAATAAATACTACTCAAAATAAGTTCCTTTGAAAAATGCTCTGTCAACCCACTTTCAGGCATGTTATTTTTTCACGCACTGAAATCTGATGCCATCTCAAAAACCAAGAAAACTCCCTGAAGTTTTCAGACATCAAAATGAATGAGGCTCTATAATTTTGGAAAAATTATGCTCTTTCATTTTATTTTCAACCTGGACTAAGCAAAGTTGTACTACTAAAACAAAAATATCAGTAGATTTTTCTGTCCATTTGCGAGACTTGAGGGACTCCATTTCAAATCATCAGAGCTGCGGTTGCAGGGTGGTTGGTGCCTGTTGTGGTGGTAACCACTGAACCATACTGCCTAAAGATTATGGCCACCCGTTTGGCGACTCAGGAGGGGAAAGAGGTGATCTACCTGCACTGTGCATAGTGAGGGTGGAGTGCTGCTGACTTCGAATGAGAACACTGTCGGGTGGTGGAAGGAATGCTTCAAGGACCTCCTTAATCCCACTGGCATGTCTTCCATGGAGGAAGCAACAAGGAGGTGGAAAAGTCAAAGCCTGAAAAGATGCACTGCTGTCAATTTAAATATTAACACAAAATGATGATGTGAGATAAAACAGATTTGATTCTATAATTTGAACAAAAACACATGATATAATTAAAAACACACCATAAAACATATAAAATGAAGTCAAACTAAACGTAGGCCTGCCTCACAGCCTGAGAATAAACATCTGCATATCAGAAGCAAAAACACTGGTGGTAATCACACTCCTAACCTCCCACTGAGCTGCACCAGCGTCTGATATTATCCAGAAACCACACGGCAGCAGAAATTATTTTCCTCATCAGTTGTTGTAAAAACATGTCAGCACATTATTTTAGAGCATTTATGATATCACAGTTTGGGATTTCATCAGAAGAGCATCCAGTGTAATAATCTGCCAAATCAAATATGCAGAGCTGCCCACCTTGGTGACCCCGTGTGACAAAGAAGTACACAAACATATGTAATATTACTGGTTGTAGAAAGTAAAATGTGTGTTCTGTCTGGTTTATTTGATTGATTTTGATTTGGGGAATTAGACCAGCAGTGAAGTGTGGGCCACCATTCTGGCTCTGATCTGGCTTCATGGTTTCAAGATGGATGCAAAGGACGAGTGGGAGCTTCTGGCTATGAAGGCTGCCTCGTGGCTCTGTGCTCACAATGGTACTAGCAATGATTGTAACAGATAAAATAACAGCTTTAAAAAACTGTTTCATTCTACAGCTTTCCTCCCACAATCATTATTTTAATATCTGTTTTGTGTTTTTAGCACCGTGTGTGTCAGAGTGTGTGGATGCTGGAAATGTTCTGCTGGGTTGCAGCGTGAAGAAAGAAGCTCTGGGACTCTGAGGGTTTTCTTAAAGTAGCTTCATCTTCAGAGTGAACAGAAGCAGGTCTGCTTACTCCACACTGCCTTTGATACAGAGCTGTTTTATATCATCAACCCCTTTTACATGTTTATTTGTCATGAATTATGTACCTAATATTGGTTTTACCATTGTGGAAAAAAAGTATGTCAAAATTGTCTGAATACTCCTGACACAGTAGAAGATTGGACCACTGCTGTGGCAGCTCATTCACAAAGTGTTTTAATTCCTTTTCTCTGCCACTAGATGGCGATTATGTTCATGTTTTTACTGATTTCACACAGAAACACCAAAACCAATCTAGAATCTCATCAATTCGAGAAAGACCACAACCAATACAGCCTTCGTTCGAACAAAATCATACAATTGATTGTCCCAAAAATCAGAACAGAATTGGGGAAAAAGGTTTTAAATACGCTGCCCCTGCTTCCTGGAATAATCTGCAGAAGGAACTCAAATTATTAGAATTGGTTACCTTGGGAGAGTTTAAGTCTGTCTTAAAGGAACGAGAGAACAGCTCTTTTACTCAGTGTGATTGTTTTTAATGTGTTATTGTATATTTTACACATGTTGGTATGGGATATTGTATTTGTTTTAAATGTTATGTGGTATGTGACTTTTGTTGCCATGATGCCAGGTCTCTCTTGGAAATGAGATTTTTAATCTCAATGAGATTTTTTTTACCTGGATAAATAAAGGATTAATAAAAAAAGAGTGTCTTTCTCTCCATCTTCAAGCTGGCCAAACGTCATGACTTTATATCAGTAAATAGTTTTAACTAATTAAGAAAATGTTATGTGGAGTTTCCCTTATTTTTTCCAAAAGTTAGATCATAAAGAGGTTTATAATTACTTAACACTCACTAACTTGCGCTGACATAAAATCTTATATCACTTTAAAGGTTTGTTTAAAAAAAAGAGAGGCAAAGATGATGTTTTCCTCATTATACTGATATTTGTCATTATACCATCCATAGATCATAAAAGTCAAGAGCATATTTACAAAAACAAACATATTCCTTTTCTGTCACTTTTTATGGTTTTAAACTAAAATAGCTGTAAAATAGTTTTGGTTGTCCAGTGATGTTTCTTCTGTCTCCTCTCCTCGTCCAATCCATAAAGTAGAGTCCAACTGCTCCCTGGACCCTCTGCAGTACCTCAACACTGATCAAACCCAGGCCACGGTAGGTAGAGTGCTGATGTGTCTGCTGCGTGTGGTTGTTACTTGTTACTGATGAATAAATATGAATGTGTTTGTGGTGTGCAGGTCAAGCTGGCTGCAGGACACAAGTTTGACAGAGATGTTGAACTGCTGATTTATTACAAAGACGCCCACCAGCCCACTGCTGTGGTGGAGGCAGGACAGGCCTCTGCTGAGCCGGGTGAGTGAAAAATAAGTGAAGTCATTAGTTTGCAAATAAAAATTCAAGATCCCAGTTCTTCAACCTGGAATTTAATTGTATTGGAATATATTAGAAACTGTAAACTTGACATTTTTCTGTCCTTTTCATGTCTCTGATGTGTTCAATGGCTTCATGTGGAGAGTTTGTGTTGGTAGTGAATCAATCTGAAAATATGAGTAATACTCGCACCAGCAGTGCCAGAGTATTCATAAAGTGGTGTTAGAGTTACAAAATATTTCCTCAAATCTTTCCTCTCACACAGTGGCCTCACCATCTTTCCCTCTTCCCTTCAGGACAGTCCTCTGCTCCTGTTGAAGAGTTTACCAATGGGCTGCTATTCAAACATTTTACAGTTTGGGGTCTCGTTGTGAACACATCTTCCCGTGAGTTGTATTCATGTGATCTCAGTGACTTAAAGTGATATCACTGTAAAACACCATGTTGCCTTTGGATGATTCTGCAAAACTCCAGGTTATGTTTGATTTACTTGCTAAAACAGATTACTGAAAGCATACTTGTATACCTGCCAAAGAGTTGAGCTTTTGCTTGTGTAGGTGAAAAAACTCTCCTCTCTTGCTGTTTGTCTTTACTGATGGAGAGGTGGGGAGCACCAAAGAAGTGATTGAGAATTCAGGTTCTCTGCGTACCAAACCTGTGTGTCTTAAAAACAGCTGTTGTATTGCAGGTGTTTCTCTTTTGGGATTGGGGAAGGGGCCAGCTCTGCTCTCATCAATGGGATGGCCAAGGAGGAGGTCACGCTCAGTTCATCACAGGGACTGACAGGATGCAACCAAAAGTAAGACATAAACACAATTACAGGTCAAGTTAAACATTGCAGCAGCAGCAGATACATATTTGAGATCAGACCTGCAGTGAGTGAAATGTCTGTTCCAGCTGTTTGTGTATATTTGGAGAGTTTTTCATTATTTTTCAGGTGATGCAGTCGCTGCGATTTGCTCTGCAGCCAGCTGTGGTCGACATCTCAGTCACATGGGATTTACCAAAGGAAGTGTCTGTCACTGTCCTCTCTCCACTAATCACAACACTTTTCCAGGGTCAGAGGTCACTGATTTATGCCCAGCTCACCAGGACAGGTAGGAGCAGCCTCTCATGTTGTTGGCAAACTAGATCAATCTGCTGGAACATCTGATTTTAGGACAATCACTTGCTTTTCCAAAGGACACTGACAACCAGACGTTAGATGCCACAGCCCTGGCCCACGGTATCCCCCCCCATGCATGCGGTGGGCCTTCTGTAGAAAGAGAGCAGCTTAATGAAGGTGACAAGGTGAAAATAGGGTGATTGATGTGCCGGTGCTGTGAGGGCATGTATAACACCACCTACCCAAGTGTTGAATATAAGGAGGCTTTGAAGAATCTACAATAATTGTGTGTTGTTTGTACATGAATCACAATGTGTTACTTCAGAGGAGTGATGTTTTCAGGGTGGTTTTTTCTGCGCTGCAGAAAATTGAAAAACTACTGTGAACTTGGTGGATCTGTCCAGATCTTTGACTGGAAACTATTTCTATGAATGAGTGGTTCAAAAATGTGTAAGTGAAAAGCTGCCATATTTCAGGTCCCAAAGTCAAACGAACACTGAGGGATCACTGAGAGCTAAAAACGGTCTAACTTCTTTCATCTTTAATAAAATGATCAGCGTTGCTGTTTTACCGGGTTTAACAATTAAGTTTAACATCCAGGCATCCATGAAAACAGAGTTTATTCAATTTAACTGAGTTAGAGGTTTGCAGTAAGTTAGCTCGCTAGTTTCCACCTAAACATGATCATCATAAGCAGTGTTACCAATTCATACACTGGTTTATCATCTAGACTTTTTGTCTCATGCAGCACCATGATCAGGTCCAGTTTTTATTTCATCTTTGATTTTTCAGCTGCTGTGCCTGAGCAGCCTCCCAGAGACCCTTTGTTGCAGTTAGTCTTCCTCCAGAAGCCATCTGGCTGCTTGATCCAGCTCTGGCTGCTGCACTGGGAAAGAGCAGTGAGGAGGTGGATTGATAAATGAAATTCATAACAAAAATTCATAATGGACTTTTTCCATTTAGGAATAATAAAAATCAGCTTTCTTTTTAATTGCTATTAACTGACAGTCAGATAACCAGCTTTTAAAAACATTCATAAACACTTTGCAATCAACAAAATTTACACAGAGGTTATAGATGAAATAAAAAGTATCACGTGTTTTCGTGTTTATAACTCTGTTATTGTACATATTCTGTGTTATACATCATAATCATTCCAGTCTCTCTCTCTTTTTTTTTTTTTACTGTTTTAATCTTTATAAAACTCTTATTTATTTATTTATTTTTGTGATTTCTGCTGCCCTATTGGTCTGGTCTCTCTTGAAAATCTGAAAACGTGATATTCATAATAAAAGGATTTAAAAGTTTACTGCCAAAAATTATTAAACTTCATAACAGAAATGTGCTAACTGGGTTGAAATAGATTGAAACTGTTATGAGATTGCTTCAGGGAGCAGACATGACACCGTCTTTTAGGTTTCGCCATCACTTTGTATTATGCGCACAACACCACCCTCCTCTGGCTTCCACGTGAACTGCACCTTAAACATCAACCGTTTACAAATGTCATGACACAAACAAACGTTTCAGTACCGTAAATCACTTTTTGGACTGCGATCACTTTTTGGCACAACATCGGCTCTGATAACATTTAAAGCGCATTGAAAAACTATTCTTTAATGCTAAAAATCCATTATCAATTGTAATTATTTATTTATTAATTTAAATTTCAGATATCGATCTTCATTTTTGTAAACTGGTGAATTAATGATTTTTTTAAAGAATTAAAACGACAAAGTTTGGCAACATATTTTTATAAAGGATGAATAAAAGAGTAAAATAAAATGAGAAATATATATATTTTTGAAAAGCTATGATAATTAGACGAACTTTATTTTAAATAAATAAAATTGATTTTCGGTGGCACTGGGAGTCATGGTGATGATGACGTGTTTGAGTGCAGGTATAAAAGCAGGAGGCAAAATTGGAATTCGGGTTTCACGTTTGAGCGCAAACAGGAGCTTTTTCCCACTAGTGCTGTGAAAACTCGGATTTTTCAAACTACAGCCAACGTTTGAAAATCTTCAAGAAGGATTTGCAAAATGACTTCTACAAACTTCAGTCGCGAGATGCACCTGTTCTCCCTTTTTATTGACGAGGTGTTAGATCAACGCTATGGTGAGTACAGCAGGCTAATATGTCAGAGTGCTAGCAAACAAATACAACTTAGATTTTTGTCTTTTATTGTTTGGAAGTAGGACTTCATGAGTGTTAACGTTTAGGATGAGATGTTTCATACTTGAGTAACATCAATTTTAACATGTGCCAGTACACTATAAAGATGGCGCCATGTTTTTTTTTAAATCGCTGGAAAAAAAAACAATTGAATGCACGCGCCCTGGAAACGACGTAAGGCATTGGAGGACGCTGACGTCAGCGCGCGGCCGTTTTTGCATGTAGAGGGTTTGAGTTGACATGTTTGGGCTGCTGGCGCTGAGTTATACGTGAAAGTTTCATAAATTGTGAATTTTATAAAGCTGGAGAATGGAGTTTTAAAAGTTCACAGAGTCGCTGGATGAGTTTGAGATTGAAACAGTGTGTGCCTGCAATAAGGAGGTGGGAGGTTTCTCACCTAAATGTAGCTGCTTTATTCTCAAAATATCGATGCTCAACTAATATGAAGATATTACTCCTTAATGTGAATGCGTATTAAAACCGCAGTGAAAGTCCATGCAGCCTTACACCGCATGAAAACTTTTACCAAAAAAGGTGAAGGCTTTCATAAACAATGAGTTCTGCTGGGAGCTTCTTACTGTTTGTGTGTGGAAGAGCTTATGATGATGTAAAGCCATGTCTGGACAATTTAAATTCAGGCTTTAGTTTGTGTGATCACATGATTAACGTACACGCATGCTTTGCTTTCTCGTAGCTGAGCTGGTGAGTCCAATCACTGCTCCTCAGATGGTCGTCATTAACTTGAGGAACCGTGAACTGAGCAGCAGCCAACTGGACTCCATGTCCCACCTGGTCCTCACTCTTTACCATAACCTGGTGACGGGGTCCAAGGACTTTCCTTACATACCTTTTAAAGGATTGTTCCATCGGGACCAGGTGACGACACCATTTGTCCATGTGAGGCAGAGCCAGAGAGAGAACACCACTCCTTCTCCTCCTACGGACTCACCAGCTGGCATGATGCTGCCGCCTGCGGGCTCCAGCTCTCATCCACGCTTCCTGACTCCAGTTCTTCCAGAGAAAGCGGATCTTGCTGTGCTGAAGGCAGATCGGAGGAACCGTGTCGGCACCTTGACTGTCGACGGCCTCCTCGTCACCAGAGTCATCTCCACTGTTTACCGAACAGAGGACACTGAGATGACGAACCGCTGGAGAATAACAGACTACAGCGCGGACGGCAGAGTTCTCACTTCGGTGCTCTGCCGTTTTCTAAATATGTCGGCAAAGCGTGCTAAGAGGAAGGCTCCGGAGGAAGAGAGCAGCATCCGGAGCCCGAGTCCAGCAAGGAAGCGCTTGAGATTATAATATACAGTGAAGCATGTCGAACGTCAGCAAGCCTGAACAAAGTGGTAAGTAGTAAATAGTGCTTAAGGTTGTTTCTAAAATAATGTCCTAAAATATTTGAAAATCGTCGAGGTTTTAACTTTTATTCTTTCTTTTCTGCCTCTTGTTTCTAAAAGTCAGGAAAAAGAGTCACGCTGCGAAGAAACTCCACACAGAAGATTTTCCCTCAGTAAAATGGTAAATATATTCATCTTGTTATGACGTTTGCTCACAATAACCACGAGTGTTCCTGTGTTTCTGAAGTGATTTACTCTCATTTGGTGTTATTTCATCCAAAGACAACTGAGGGTCTTCAGAGCAGCGTGAACGGCCGTCACCTGAGAGAAAACAGTCCTGGCGCCTTTGTGGTTCCCTCCAGGTACTCCAGCTTCATCCCACAGTCCAGAGAGATGCAGTTAGGTTGAATGTGAGTGTGAATAGTTGTCTGTTTCTCTGTGTTAGACTGACCTGTCCAGGTTGTACTCCTGCCTCTGGCCCCATAACAGCTGGGATGGCTCCAATCTTGAATTGGATAAGCTGAAGAAATGGATGGAAGGATGATCCAAAGAGAAACATTAAAGGCCCTCTCACAAAAAAAGATAAGAACTCATTTTACACATTTAAAGTACAAAGTACACATATATTTACCATTTTACTGAGGGAACATCTTCTGTGTGGAGTTTCTTCTCATCTTGGCTCTTTTTCCTGACATTTAGAAACAAGAGGCAGAAAAGAAAGAATAAAAGTTAAAACCTCAACGATTTTTTAATGTTTGGGATATTTTAGAAACAACCGTAAACACTATTTACTACTTACCACTTTGTTCATTCTTGCTGACGTTCACTCTCCTCATCTTCTCTCTAAAGGAAGATGCAAACGCTCTCATTGTGAAAGATAAGTATACATCCATCTAACCTGCGACTCTGTCACAACTCTGATCAGCAATTCTTTCAGGTTTGTCTGTTTTGATGATGCTATTAATTGTTATTATCCTTTATCCAGGTAACTTTCAGAGAGGAGCGGAGGGAGGAGCGAAGCCAGCGTGCTCTGTAAACTCTCATTAAAAAAAAGATAAGTACATATTGATTTTATATTATTATGACAGCTCCTCCTCAGTGAACACTTCCTCTAGTTGCTGAAATCATTTACTAATTTTTTTCTTCCCATTTGTCTTTTGTTTTTCAGAGAAAACAGAGAGGAGACAAGGTGACATTAAGACCTAAGACAGGACGGATTGAACCCTTTCTCGTAAAAAGATAAGTATTCACTCTGCTTTTAATCAGAATATTGATAAATATCTAAAATTCTGCTCACCTGGTTGATAAGTTACTAAAACGATTCCCTCTTTACTGTCATTTGTCCTTTAGAGAGAAGATGAGGAGAGTGAACGTCAGCAAGAATGAACAAGTGGTAAGTAGTAATAGTGTTTACGGTTGTTTCTAAAATATCCCAAACATTAAAAATCGTTGAGGTTTTAACTTTTATTCTTTCTTTTCTGCCTCTTGTTTCTAAATGTCAGGAAAAAGAGCCAAGATGAGAAGAAACTCCACACAGAAGATGTTCCCTCAGTAAAATGGTAAATATATTCATCTTGTTATGACGTTTGCTCACAATAACCAGGAGTGTTCCCGTTGTTCTGAAGTGATTCACTCTCATTTGGTGTTATTTGGTGTTTGTCTTTGAAAGGAGAAGAGCAGCAACGACACTGGGAGACAAACAACAGGATGATCCAAAGACAGCTGAGGGTCTTCAGAGCAGCGTGAACGGCCGTCACCTGAGAGCAAGACAGTCCTGGCGCCTTTGTGGTTCCCTCCAGGTACTCCAGCTTCATCCCACAGTCCAGAGAGATGCAGTTAGGTTGAATGTGAGTGTGAATAGTTGTCTGTTTCTCTGTGTTAGACTGACCTGTCCAGGTTGTACTCCTGCCTCTGGCCCCATAACAGCTGGGATGGCTCCAATCTTGAATTGGATAAGCTGAAGAAATGGATGGAAGGATGATCCAAAGAGAAACATCAAAGGCCCTCTCACCAGCTTTCATTTATTAAATTTGTCTTTACTGAACGATTTCTGGTGTGTATTTGCATTGATACTCAGACAACAGCTCCTCTTTCTGTTTGTGCTGGAAGATTCAGGCAAACACATATTACATATATAGATTGTTATGATATGACTCAGTTTCACATTTAGTGCTATATGAGAATGATAAGGTCCAGTTTAATAGTATTGCTAGTGTCTAATGAAATGAACACGTGTGTGGCGGAGGCGTGGCCCGGGCGCAGCTGCAGGGGAGGAGTGGAGCGGAAGGCTCAACGGGGCGGCGCCGCGAGGCTGGTAAGAACAGCTGATATTGTTTATGGACTAATGATGGTCTCCTCCGCTGTGTTTATAGTTAGACGAGGAGGAGCGGCCAAGGGAGATCAGCTGGGCTCGAGCTGTCAGACGGTGCGACTGCGTCAGCTGTCAAAATACAAATATATCAATAAACGTGGAAGTTGGCTATACCTGCCTGTGTGTGCGTGTGTCTGTGCTGGGTGTACTCTACAAGTGGTGCCGAAACCCAGGAAAGTGCCGGTGGGGAAAATGTCCGACCCACAGGCCACGCCACCCGCCCAGCCTCTGCAATTCTTGGCGCAGATGCTGGCGGAGATGGCGACGATGAGCCGGGATCAGGCGGCCGACCAGCGTGCCCACCTGGCCGCGCTGCGGGAGCAGACGGACCGACAGACGCAAGTTCTGGAACGGCTGGTCGGGGCCGCTGCCACGCCGAAGCCCTCGCCGCTGTCGGTGTCGGTGCCCCGGATGGGGACGGGGACGACCCACAAGTTTTTTTGGAGACCTTCCGTGCCACGGCGGAGGCTTGCCAATGGCCGCGGGAGGAGTGGGCTCCGCGGCTGCTCCCCTGCTGTCTGGGGAGGCGCAAACAGCGGCCCTGAGTCTGCCTCCGGCGTCGAGGAGCAGCTTCCCGGACGTGAGCCGGGCGGTGGTGGACAGGCTGGGGCTCACCGCCGAAGACCATCGCCGGCGGTTCCGGGCCTGTCGGCTGGCTACAACGGACCGACCATTCGCCTGGGCCCGGCAGCTGCGCGATGCGGCGGTGCGCTGGCTGCAACCGGGAGCATCGGAGGGCGAGACGAAGCTGGTGGACAAGGTGGTGCTGGAGCAGTTCACGGAGGGATTGCCAGCGGAGACGGCGAGATGGGTCCGGTGCCACCGGCCCGCAAGCCTGGAGGTAGCGGTGACGCTAGCGGAAGACCACCTTGCCGCTGGAGCAGGGGAACCCGGGGACGCCGGACGGAGGCCGAACAAACAGGCCCCAGTGCCGGCCCCGAGACGCCGTGTGCCGGCACCAGGGCAGGCAGAGCGGCTGCCGGCGCTGAGCCCCACTAACCCTTTCGCGGCGTTGGTGCCGTCCAGGGCAGCCGAGCCAAGTGGAGCCGCCCCCGAGCCACGGAGAGCAGCACAGACGCCGGGGCCGGAGTGCTGGAAGTGCGGGCAGCCGGGGCACCTGAGGAGGGATTGTCCGCTTATGGAAGTGGGGCAGGTGTTTCGTGTTGCTGGCGCCCCAGCACCCTCCCCCGGTCCAGGAGGGACATACAGTATTCCGGTAAGGACTCGAGGGGGTATACGCCAGGCGTTGGTGGACACGGGCTGCACGCAGACCCTCGTACACCAAAGCTTGGTTCGCCCCGGGGCATTGCTGGAGGCAGAATGGGTGGAGGTGAGGTGTGTGCATGGTGACGTCCACAGGTATCCCATAGTGCCGCTGTTATTAAAATATAAGGGCAAAATGCATAGAGTAACGGCGGCGGTTAGCCCGCGCCTGTCGCACCCCCTGATTCTGGGTACCAATTGGCCGGGGTTTCATCAGCTACTGGGCAGTACGCGGGGGTGCGATCACGACCGGAAGCGGGGTGTAGCGTGTGCGCGGCATTCAGCGGTGACGCGGGGTCGTCCGACACCGACTCCGGGGGGGAGGAGCCGGCGGGTCCCTCACGGGACGTCCCGCCGGCCCCGGAAGTGTCCCCCATGGGTGATTTCCCACTGGAGCAGTCTCGTGACGGCACCCTACGCTCAGCCTTTGACCAAGTGATGGCTATTGATGGTCACGTGGTGCGCCCTGAGGCCGCGCAGACCTACCCGCGTTTCGTCTTATTAAACGACCGGTTATATCGAGTGAGTCGTGACACTCAGACCGAGGAAACACACACCCAGTTGTTGGTGCCGCAGGGCCGCCGGGAAACGCTTTTCCAGGCGGCCCACTATAACCCCATGGCAGGGCATATGGGCTACGAGAAAACTCTGGAGCGAATAACGGCCCGATTTTATTGGCCGGGCATCCGAGCGGATGTGCGCCGCTGGTGCGCGTCCTGCCCGGACTGCCAACTTGTTAACCAGCCGGCCATACCGAAGGCGCCGCTGCGCCCTCTCCCCCTCATTGAGGTCCCGTTTGAGCGCATCGGCATGGACCTCATCGGGCCGTTTCACCGGAGTGCACGCGGCTACCGCTTTGTGTTAGTCCTGGTGGATTACGCAACGCGGTACCCGGAAGCAGTTCCGCTGCGCACCATCTCTGCAAAGAGTGTGGCGCAGGCACTGTTTCAGGTCATCTCCCGAGTCGGAATCCCGAAAGAGATACTGACTGACCAGGGCACGTCGTTTATGTCTCGTACACTGCGGGAACTGTACGAATTACTGGGCATTAAATCTATTCGGACCAGCGTCTACCACCCTCAGACTGACGGGCTGGTGGAGCGGCTGAATAAGACTTTGAAGTCCGTGATTCGGAAGTTCATTAACGAGGATGAACGCAATTGGGATCACTGGCTAGACCCTCTGTTATTCGCAGTGCGGGAGGTGCCCCAGGCCTCCACGGGATTTTCTCCCTTTGAACTGCTGTTCGGCAGGAGGCCACGTGGGGTGCTCGACCTGATTAAAGAAAGCTGGGAGGACGGTCCGAGCCCCGCCAAAAATGAGATTCAGTACGTGTTGGACCTGAGAGCAAAACTCCACACTTTGGGGAGGTTGTCACGGGAGAATTTGCTCCAGGCTCAGCAGCGTCAGCAACGCCTGTATGACAGAGGGGCTAGGCTCAGGCAATTCTCACCGGGAGATAAAGTGCTTGTGTTACTCCCTACTTCCAGCTCGAAGTTGCTCGCCAAGTGGCAAGGACCCTTTGTGGTCACACGGCGAGTCGGGGACGTGGACTATGAGGTCGCTCGGTCGGACAGGGGAGGAGCCACGCAGATTTATCACCTCAATCTCCTCAAACTGTGGCAAGAGGTTGAAACCGCTTCTCTGGTGAGCTTGGTGAAGGAGAGAGATGAGTTGGGGCCGGAGGTGCCAAATTCTATCATTCCCGCCTCCCTCCCTTGTGATGACCATCTCACACAGGCCCAGAGAGCGGATGTTGTCGCGTTGCAACAGCGTTTTGCGGACGTGTTCTCCCCCCTGCCCGGCCGGACGTCCCTCATCGAGCACCATTTCGTGACGCAGCCTGGCGTGACAGTGCGTTCACGGCCCTACAGGCTCCCGGAGCACAAGCGAAAAATCGTGCAGAGGGAATTGGCGGAAATGCTGAGGATGGGAGTAATAGAAGAGTCGCACAGCGCCTGGTGTAGCCCCATCGTTCTGGTGGCGAAGAAGGATGGGTCTATACGGTTCTGTGTCGACTATCGCAGGGTGAACGAAGTGTCACGCTTTGATGCCTACCCCATGCCTCGGGTCGACGAGCTCCTGGACCGGTTAGGCACGGCCCGCTTTTTCACGACACTGGACTTAACCAAGGGCTATTGGCAGATTCCCTTGTCTGCCGAGGCCAGGGAGAAAACGGCCTTCTCCACTCCGTACGGTTTGTACCAGTTCGTGACACTTCCGTTCGGCCTGTTCGGGGCCCCGGCCACTTTCCAGCGTCTCATGGACCGGGTACTGCGTCCGCACGCAGCGTATGCTGCCGCCTACCTGGATGACGTGATCATCCACAGCGACACCTGGGCGGAGCATGTGCTGCGGGTGGCCGCGGTCCTGGAGTCCCTGAGGGGGCGGGGCTCACGGCCAATCCGAAGAAGTGCGCGGTTGGACGGAGGGAGGTGCAGTATCTGGGGTACCACCTGGGGGGCGGGCAGGTGCGTCCACAGGTGGAGAAGACGGCGGCTATCGCATCCTGCCCGCGCCCCAGGACGAAAAAGGAGGTGAGACGGTTCTTGGGGTTGGCGGGTTACTATCGTCGCTTTGTGCCGGGGTTTGCGCAGCTAACCAGCCCCCTGACCGATCTCACTCGAAAGGGTGCCCCGGATCTGGTCCAGTGGACGGGGCCGTGCCAGGCGGCGTTTGTGCAGGTGAAAAAGGCTCTCTGTGGGGAGCCGCTGCTTCACACTCCTAACTTTTCCCTCCCTTTTGTTCTGCAGACTGACGCCTCGGACAGAGGGCTGGGAGCCGTTTTGTCCCAGCAGGTAAGGGGGCCGACCGCCCTGTCCTATACATCAGCCGGAAGCTGGCAGAGCGCGAGCGCCGGTACAGCACCGTGGAGAAGGAGTGCCTGGCCATCCGGTGGGCGGTCGGCTCCCTGCGCTATTACCTCCTGGGACGCTCATTCACCCTCTGTTCGGACCACGCCCCGCTGCAGTGGCTCCACCGCATGAAGGATGCCAACGCCCGGATCACCCGGTGGTATCTGGCGTTGCAGCCCTTTAAGTTCAAGGTGATCCATAGGCCGGGGGCGCAGATGGCAGTGGCCGATTTCCTCTCTCGCTCGCGGGGGGGGAGTTGGCTCGGCCGGACGGCTCCCCGGCCTCGAACGGGCGGTGGGGGTGTGTGGCGGAGGCGTGGCCCCGGGCGCAGCTGCAGGGGAGGAGTGGAGCGGAAGGCTCAACGGGGCGGCGCCGCGAGGCTGGTAAGAACAGCTGATATTGTTTATGGACTAATGATGGTCTCCTCCGCTGTGTTTATAGTGAGACGAGGAGGAGCGGCCAAGGGAGATCAGCTGGGCTCGAGCTGTCAGACGGTGCGACTGAGTCAGCTGTCAAAATACAAATATATCAATAAACGTGGAAGTTGGCTATACCTGCCTGTGTGTGCGTGTGTCTGTGCTGGGTGTACTCTACAACGTGATTTTCTTTTTTTTCTTTTCTTGCCTGTCCCGTTTGGCTCTTTTGCCATCAGAATTATTGTCTAAAGGCAAAGAAAGATGCCCAACGGATTTACTTTACCAAATTGACCATCCCAGCCTTGCCGTAATGGTCCATTTGATTCACCTTTTATTGTTTATTTTATTTTCACTTGCTGAATACGGGACAGACTTGACTGGGGGAAAGAAGGGGAGAAAGAAAGAGAAACAGCTGAGAAGAGGGACAGGGGAGAAGGGCAAAAAACAAAACCCAACAGAATGGGCAGAAAAAGAAAAGAAAATGCATCTATCGATCACCTGGATCACCTGTTGAGAAAGACAAAAGAAAACAAGCAGAAGAGAACAAGAGTAATAGAATA